AGATTATTGACGTAGATGGTAACCAGAGGCGGGTCATGACACGAGAGGCGGCCCCCGCATTCAGTTGACAACAGGCTGTGCTCTTTAGCCTAATTAGGCACATTCATTAAAAACTAATGAGTGGAAATTGTAGATTGCTTGTGTGCAGGATAGCTAGAAAAGCCAGAAAAGTCGGAGCAGAAATGTTCTTTTCCACGTTAGGAGAAAGCTTTAATCTTCCGCCTCTCGTGCCCCCCCCCATTCTTATATATAGTACATGACGGAGTTTCTTGTACATGTATATGATTGTATATGATATATCTGGCATATGTATGTTAACAATCATAGAATTTCCTAAAATGTTACCCTTCGGAAAAGCTTCCATTTCTCCATATAATCATGAGGTTAAATCAAACCTGCTTGACACATTGCAAATGCCCCATTGTAATCCTATCGGATATGATCATAATTTACGTAATTTACAAAATACTCCCAAAAATATTTGGCAAAAAAATTATGTTTCCGTGCTTTGTAATGTAATAGAGGGGCAGCGAGTAGGCAAAAATGTGTGTAACGGGACACGGCATTGAATTTCAGATATTGCCCCTCCCCCGCACATGAAATGGTACAGTCCGCCTGTGGTGACCGCCTATTGTGCCCGCCTCTCGTGCCCTACTCCAGTACTCGCGTCACCCCTTACTCTGCTAACGTCTGATACCGTACGTTAGGCTACACAGATGTCTCCTTAAAGGCAGAAGAAGAAATGGGGACTACCTACCTTGATGACGTAGTGATAACGTATGTGATAGGCTGTACCCTTTTCATTTAATATTTGGTCATGCTGTTCTTTGAACATTTAGAATATTCAGATTTAGTTAATCTACACATCATTTTAAGTATAAAGTACATGTACAAGTGGTTATTGCGTATTACAATATTTGACCTTCTATGTACTGAATGTGTAATAGTTACCAGCCCTTTGGTAGTGACACAAGTTGGTTGAGTACTGATGCCTCCATGCGTACGCCATGCGTACTGCAGAAAACTGACTTGCTTCCACACACATGAAGATCAGATGTTGCATGACAGGCTTTGAAGATCAATGAAATATCATCAATAGAGTATTGGAAGATCGCTGAGACGTTCGTCAAATCGACAGATCCTATAGCTAACTGTCCATCATAATTAGCATTTCAGCCAATCCTAGCTTCGCAATGACAGTTCGACCAATGACAGGGGTGCTGCATGTCTATCAAATATTTGCATGTTACATTTTGACGCAGGTGGTCTTGCAGGGCTTCAGGGATTGGTCTAGTCTTGGACGTTTAACGGCGTCTCAAGAAAATATTTTGATGGACATGCAACCACTCTCTCATTGGTCGAACCGTTAATTGCCATGTTATCATTGGCTGTGTCACTGCTGTACTGAATCCAAACTTTGTCACACTGAAGTAATTTATATCCAAGCCAGCACAGTTGGTACGATGCATATCAAAGAAACGGTAAACGCTTGCGACGTGCTTAATAAGTTTGCTCTGCTGTTGGTATCCTCTTCGCAAGGGTTGTCCGTTGGCTCAATCAAAGGCTCAAACGTTGGTGGATCCTCAAGTTGCTCATGAGCCTAACGTGTTGTCAGAGAAAGAACAGAGAAAAAAACAAGAAATCAGAGATTCCAAACTTCCAACAAGTAGAGATAGTTTTCGTTGATTAATTACATCATAGATTGCATCATGGCTGTATGACGAAACTTAAATCAATGGCTACCACATTCTCGAATCAGGGCATACCTGGTCAAAACCCCGTCAATCAAGAGACACCCAATCTTCGCCCACTCATTTTGGGATACAAACATACAAACTCCCACTAAACCAGCGCCACCAAAAGCAACACTTCCGTCACGAGAAGTAGTGATTCATTGACTGATCATGATAACTAAATATGCTTAGTGTCTTTGTTAGTTACATTTAAAACATGCGTACGGATTGGCCAAACCTATGGTGTCATCTAATCAGAAGAAGGTTGCCATCCAGACTGAGGTAAACTGTGTTTTACCTGAAAATGTGCCTTTGCCTCACACACCATACGATGCGGCATGTGTCGGTTGTGTTCCTCAAACGTTCGAATCTCATCCTCTGTCCACCCGTGTGCATGCGCAGCCTCGAATAAAGACTTGTTGACGAAGGGGTGGTCTTCGGGCCCAGTTATGATGACGTCATAGTGGTACGTGTACCTAGCGGATTGAAAGAGAAATGCATGTAATGTTGTTTCTAATAGAATGGATTATGTTAAACAGAAACAAGGAATCTGGGATTTAAGACGTCCGGAAAACATTTTAGGTTTGTAGTACCGCATTTCATGTGTCTGACCTAATTTGACCTTGTGTCCTTCTGCTTGTCAATCTTCCCCACCCAACAACGTCAACCTATTCAAATTCAACCATTTTCCTGTGTCTGACCTTTTGACCTGTCATTCTGCTCGTGAATCTTCCCTACCCACGTGCTGTCAGCCTACTCTCAAGTTCGCCCCATTTCCCGTGCGTCTGTTCTTTTGACATGTGATTCTGCCTGTCAATCATTCCACCCACATGCTATTCCTCCAAACCTCCTTGTTCGGACAAAAAAAAGCTCGGCTTTCTGAAACCAAGGAGATTTAAACCTTCTTGCAAAAACATTAATTCTATACCCGAAATTAGGAAGAATGTGCAACAATACGATACGATAATTCCGAGACTTACGTGAAGTTGTGAACCCCAAAGAACGCGGCCAGGTCCTGAGCGTTCGGTTCACTTCCACACCCGTCCAGGTCTATCTTTGGGTAGTAGAGGAGGAAGTCCATACACATCTCCTCCCAGGTCCCGCGACCGCCCTGCAAGGTAAGACATCGAAGATCTCATACCTCCGTGAAGTATAATAGTAACAAGAACAGGTACATGTATTATGCAAATGTGGACCGTTCTCCAACTCAAAAAAGAATTACAACTCACCGAAACGTTCGACCCAATCACTTGGTCTTCCTCGACTTTCTGACCCTATTGCTATAATCACATGGTTTTGTTCATGTGTGACGTCAGCAATGGGTCAAAGTTGGCCGGAAGTCAATATCGCCCCCCGTCACGGTTAAGAGAATGTTGGTGCCAATTAGCTAGGGGCAAAATTGACTTCCGACCAACTTTGACCAAAGATTATTTTACTAAGTACACTCTGATGAATGTACATGCTAAGAACAGTTTGAGATACTTACATAAGTCATGTTGTGACGACCTTTTGTTTCGTATCCACACTCCAACACCAGGGCGTCGCCCTTCATAGAAAAAAATGAAAGACAATGGGTTAACTGCGCCTTTACTCAATGCTTTTCTACGTTTCTGTGGGCTAACTTTTAAAGTAATGTATCTTAGGTCAATGCCTTTTAACAACAAACAAACAGCAATGCCTTTTAACAACGTTAACAAACAAACAGCAAGGCCCCTTTACTAATGATCTGTATCTGTATCTGTATAGCCGGTATAACCGCCTTTCGGCGTAACACACCAGCTTACGTGATGACGTAACCATTACACGCAGAACCTTGCCAATGTCTTTAGTACAATAGTTATCATTAGTTTTCAATAATCATTGATAGATTTACTTGTACCTACCGGTAACAGCTTCACATATGGTTTCAGGTATGTTGTTTGCTAAAATAGGAAAACAAAAATATTTTCAGTTAGTGTGTGCACAAAAATGATTCATCAGATACCTGATTAGAAAATATATGCTTCCAATCTTCCTGCATTGCTCAGTGGACTTATTTCGTGGATTAAATTTACCATTATTTATTGGGTCAAGCACAAATGACGTCAAACACAAATGACCAATGAGAGAACGGTACTTATAAAAATGTACCTGGTAATTGAAGTCATAAGCGTCGTTGCCGTTGATTGGTTTCAGCTCTTTGCCATTTCTGTAGTGGCGGTCTCGAATGGACCGTCCTAAATGAATCGGAAACGTTGCTAAAATGCTAAAATGCTAAAATTCTACACCTTATAATTTAAAACTACACATGTTATAGAGAACTGACTTGGTTCAACAAATTTCCTTAAGATACTAGTACATCTACATTTAAAAAAAAGTGCATTGAATTTTCGACTGTCCTGCTGCAATCTTCCTTAGCATTTAAATGAGCAGACAGCTTGATCACCTGACCTCATGAACACGTGACGTCAGAAGTGGGTCAAAAGTCAAAGGAAGTCTATACCGCCCGCCGTCTTTTTGAGCGATGACTGTTGTGCCCGGATGAAGATGGTCTCCTTTATGCCTCTCTCGAAGTACTCACGTGACTTACTTTGACATTGTCCCAAGAAATAGTACGACTTGCTGATTCAATGTTTCTATTTAAACAAGGCTGCAGGACAGTCCAACATTGGTTAATGTAATATTCTGTG